TCACATACCTTTTACTGTTTTTCTCTTCCCTTCTCCCCTCCTCACTAAAAAGAATGAAGTTTTTACTTAAATATAGAAGAAATATGTTAGCAACATTTTATGAAGTGTTTGTTTTGATGCTTTATAATGAAGTGAAAATCTTTGGTTGAGAAACATTTTGAAAAAAGAATTAGAAACTGAGATTTTTAGCCCATAAGAGTTAAATATTGAAATAACCAACTTGATAGCTTTTATTTTATTTATTTATTTTTTTTTTGAGTTGGAGTCTCACTCTGTCACCCAGACTGGAGTGCAGTGGCCGCTCCCGGCCACCGCAGCCTCACCCGCTGGGCTCTGGCGATCTTTCCGCCTCAGCCTTCTAAGTAGCCGGAATTACAGGCATGCGCTACCACGCCCGGCTGATTTTTTTTTTTTTGATTTATTGTAGAGATGAGGTCTCACTGCCCAGGCGGGTCTCGAACCCGCGGGCTCAGGCAATCCACTCACCTCAGTTGATAACTTTTAAATATTCTGTATAAGTTGGCTTTTTAGGAGTTGAGGGGAGTAAGGAAAACTTTTTTGTATAATCTTTGAATATCTATTTTAAATGTATGTTTCCTGTCTTATTTTTGATAGGGTCTTACTGGACAGAGCTCATTCAGACTATGACAGTATGTTTCAACATCTGGATTTGGAAATGCTTTCCTCACCACAACATTCTCCAGTCAATCAGTTTGCCAATACCTCAGAAACAAATACCTCGGACAAATCTTTCTCTAAAGACCTCAGTCAGCTACTAGTCAATATCAAATCATGTAGATGGCGGCATTTTAGGCCTCGGACACCATCCCTACATGACAGTGACAATGATGAACTCTCCTGTCGGAAAGTATATAGGAGTATAAATCGAACAGGAACAGCACAACCTGGGACCCAGACATGCAGTACCTCTACACAAAGTAAAAGTAGCAGTGGTTCAGCACACTTTGGTATGTTTATTGTTATGATGTATATTTCTATAGAAATATCAGGTTCATCCATTTTTTAAGTGGTTTATTACATTTATGACTAAAAGTCATTTTCTCTCAAAACAGTTGAAGGAAAAAAGACCTTGGTCTAAGTATTTATTTGATTCTTGTTGCTATAGGAATTTTTATATGTGTCTTCACTTGAATATATCTACTACATAAAAGGTGGTTTATTTCTATTTAATGTGTGACTTTGGTTCCTGGATGCAATTCGTGAACCACAGAGTTTATTATATCTTCAAACAATATGAAAGAAAAATGGACTCTAAATTGTTAACTATTTTATGCTCAGACACTTCTCTAGTTGTTTTACCTAGTCTGCTCAAGCATAGAGACCAGGAAGTCAATAGATATGTATAAGCTTATATGCTGACACAGTAATTCAGAATGATTTATGAAAGAAACATATTTTTCAAAGAAGAATATTTAAGTTAAAGGATTATTTTGATACCTTTTGGAACTTTTCACATATCTACTTTATTATTATGGCTACAGTGTGAAATGTGTCTAAAATAAATGCCATCCATTTAAAATATTCCTATAATCTTAGCTTTCTTGTTTTTTGAGGGGGCAGTGGAGTTGGGTTTTTTTTTTTTTTTGAATTGGAGTCTCACTCTGTCACCCAGACTGGAGTGCAGTGTCACGCTCACAGCTACCACAGCTTCGACCTACTGGGCTCCGGCAGTCCTTCCGCTTCAGCTTTCCAAGTAACCAGAACTACAGGCACGCGCTACCACACCCAGTCAGTTTTTATTTATTGTAGAGACGAGGTCTCGCCAAGTTGCTTGGGCAGGTCTTGAATCTGCGGGCTCAGGCAATCCACTTGCCTCGGCCTCCCAAAGTGCTGGGATTATAGGCTGAGCCACCAAGCCCGGCTAATCTTAGCTTTCTATTTTAAAGTATAAGTTTGTTATTTGAAGCATATAGATTATAGAAATGTAATGTTAACGTTACATTAGTACAGTTTTTTTGGTTGTTGTTATCTTTGGTTTTGGGGTTTTTTGTGTTTTTTTTTTTTTGAGTCGGAGTCTCACTCTTTTGCCCATGCTGGAATGCAGTGGCACACTCACAGCTTCCTCATCCTCGACCTTCTCATCACCATGCCCAGCTAATTTTTTTCTTTATTGTAGAGACAAGGTCTTGCCTAGTTGCCCAGGCTGGTCTCAAACTACTGGGTTTAGGTAGTCCTCTCGCCTCTGCCTCCCAAAGTGCAGGAATTGCAGGCGTAAGCTACTGTGCCTGGCCAGGTTTCTGTAAAGATTAATTTAAATGTAGATTTTGAAAGGACTGTGAGATACTTACTGTTTCCCTAATCACCTGATAGAGTTATAGACAGTTAAACAGCCTCATAAGTACAGAAATTTGGCCTAATGTGGTGACTCACACCTGTAATCCTGTACTTTGGGAGGCTGGCAGGAGGATTCTTTGAGCCTAGGAGTTTGATATCTGTCTGAGCAACATAGTGAAACCTCATCTTTACAAAAAATTAGTCAAAGCGTGATGATGTGTGCCTGTAGTCCCAACTATTCTGGAGGCTAGTTTGGGAGGATCACTTGAGCCCAAGAGGTTAAGGCTACAGTAAGCCATGATCGTGCCACTGCACTCCAGCCTGGTTGACAGAATAAGACCCCATCTCAAAAAAAAAAAAAAACATACAGTTAACCCTTGAACAGTGCAGGGGTTAGGGGAACTGAACCCCCCAAACAGTTAAAACTTTCTGTATAACTTTTGACTCCCCAGAAATTTAACTATTAATAGCCTACTGTTGACCAGAAGCCTTACTTACTGATAACATAAACTATCCATTGAAATGTATTTTGTGGCCGGGCTCGTTGGCTCAGCCTGTAATCCCACACCTTTGGGAGGCCGAGGTGAGTGGATTGCCTGAGCCTGCGGGTTCGAGACCTGCCTGGGCAGCAAGACGTCATCTCTACAATAAATCAAAAAATCAGCCGGGCATAGTAGCGCATGCCTGTAATTCCGGCTACTTGGAAGGCTGAGGCAGAAGGATCGTCGGATCCCAGCAGGTCGAGGCTGCGGTGGCCAGGAGCGGCCATTGCACTCCAGTCTGGGTGACAGAGTGAGACTCCAACTCAAAAAAAAAAAGATGAGCATTATCAAAAATTTAGCTGGAAAAAAAATCTTTAGTAATCTTGTAATTTTCTTCTTAATCATCCTTCCTCCCAAATATATAGGATACACCTTTTTAAAAATTGGCTTATCTGGTTTTTTTCTGTTCTACTTATTTTCAACTTCTTAAATTTTGCTGTATCTTCTTATATAGTTAGGGAATAAATACTTACAGACTACTATAGGATAACACTATTTATTAGTTCATATTTGAGAATATTCCAGAAGCCTAAAGTTTTTATGTTCTATAAAGTATATATACACATAAGTGCATTTAGTTTAAGTGAATTCAACTATAGGGCCCTAAAGAAAAAAAGAAAATGTAGCAGTTCAAACGTTATACAAGATTCTAAATACAACTCTACTAAAAGATTGTATTCTTCAGAGTGAGCCCAGAAAGGGAGAAATGAATCTGTCCCTCTTAAAAATTCAGTGCCTACATTGCCCCTGTATTCATAGGTTGACCTATTTTTAAATTTTTTTTTTCAAACAGCGTGGCCCCCAAATATAAAGGAGACTACTTCATCTGGTACATAACCAAAGAAACTTTGATTTAGTCTGATGCCAGAAGGGAAAAAACTGACTGTGTTGGACTTACTAAAAGAGAAAAGTCTATATCAGGGCACTCTCTGAAGGAATTTTTAAAGCTTCATTTTAACTATACAGATGAATAACTCCTTACCTGAAATGCTTGAGACAGAAGTGTTTCAGATTTCAGAATTTTTTAGACTTGGGAATATTTGCATATACATAAGATACCTTAGGGATGGGACCCAAGTCTAAACACGAAACTCATCCGTTTCATGTAAGCCTTATACACTTATACACCTATACACCTTTTATACCTGAAAGTAATTTTATACCATTTAAAAAAATAATTTTGTGCATGAAACACGGTATTGACTGTGACTCATCACCTGAGGTCAGGTGTGGAATTTTTCATTTGGCATCTTGCCAACACTCAAAGTTCCAGATTTTGGAGAATTTCAGATTTTAGATTTTTGGATTAGGGATGTTCAACTTGTACATACTTTAGAATTAACCAATGTGTGAGATGCCAATCAACGGATACACTCTCCTTTCTTGCTGCCTAAGCCAAATAAATATGTTGGTTGTAATTTAGCTATTTTTTTTTTTTTTTTTTTTTTTGAGTTGGAGTCACTCTGTCGCCCAGACTGGAGTACAGTGGCCGCTCCCGGCCACCGCAGCCTCGACCTGCTGGGCTCCGGTGATCCTTCCACCTCAGCCTTCCAAGTAGCCGGAATTACAGGCATGCGCTACCATGCCCAGCTGATTTTTTGATTTATTATAGAGATGAGGTCTCGCTGCCCAGGCAGGTCTCGAACCCACGGGCTCAGACAGTCCACTCACCTCAGCCTCCCAAAGGCGTGGGATTACAGGCTGAGCCACTGATCCTGGCTCATTTAGCTATTTTTGATAATTCAGGCATTGCTATTAATATAAATATTTCTACTTAAGCTTGACATAGTAAATCCCTCTGGACTGGGTTTTTTCCTTTTCTAAGTAGTTATCTGTAAGGGCCTATTCTTGTTTTTTTGATTTTTTTTTAGTTGGAGTCTCACTCACTCTGTCGCCCAGACTGGAGTTCAGTGGCTGCTCCCGGCCATCGCAGCCTCAACCTGCTGGGCTCCGGCGATCCTTCCGCCTCAGCCTTCCAAGTAGCTGGAACAACAGGCGCGTGCTACCACGCCCAGCTAATTTTTTTGATTTACTGTAGAGATGAAGTCTTGCCAAGTTGCCCAGGTGGGTCTCAAACCCGCGGGCTCAGGCAATTCACTCACCTCGCCTCCCAAAGCGCAGGATTACAGGATGAGCCACCGAGCCCGGCAGAAAAGGGAGGACCGCCCAACGTGGGACCCGAACCCATGACCCTGGGATTAAGAATCCCATGCTCTACCAACTGAGCTAGCCGGGCAGTTTATTCTTGTTTTTAGATAAGAAATTCTAAATGAAATAACAGGAGTCCATTCATTTTGGTAAAGTGCATGAACTTTTAACACACCAACTTTTAATACCTCTGTTTTAACTGCTCAAAATTCTTTTTACTGGCATCCCAGTCTTGGCCATTTTGCATAGATATGTAATCACATGGGTAGCCTGTTTAGACAGGTGTTGGGTAAACTTATTAGTTAGATGTTGAGGGCTCCGTCTTCTGGATACAGTGCGGTAGAATAGAACTTGGAAATAAATATATGGAAATTCTAATATATGTGTATTAGAATTTCTAGGACTAAGTTTTAGTGCTTAAGGATAAAATGTTTATTTTTAACCATCTTTAGGTAACATTTGAACAGTTTCCAAATACAGCTTTCTAATTTGGTTTTTACTCACAGACACACTTTTGAAAATGTATTATTTGTTCAGTGACTGAGTATTCATTTATGTGTGTTTGAGTTTGGAAGATAACAAATAGTAGAATTAAGAGTCCTTATATAATTCAGAAAGATTGAAAGCAGAAAGTGATTTTTAAGCTACAATTATATATTCAGGATATGAATTCCTAGTTTCCAATGAAATTGCATCAGCATATTCTAAGTTCATATATCTGCATTAAAGATTTGATCTATTTTTATTTTTATTTTTTTGAGTTGGAGTCTCATTCTGTTGCCCAGACTGGAGTGCAGTGGCCGCTCCTGGCTACCGCAGCCTCAACCCGCTGGGCTCCGGCAATCCTTCCACCTCAGCCTTCCAGGTAGCCAGAATTACAAGCATGCACTACCACACCCGGCTGATTTTTTGATTTATTGTAGAGATGAGGTCTTGCTGCCCAGGCGGGTCTCGAACCCGCGGGCTCAGACAATCCACTCACCTCAGCCTCCCAAAGGCACGGGATTACAGGCTGAGCTACCGAACCTGGCTTGATCTATTTTTATAAGTGACTAGGAGATAAGTAGCCAGAATGATATGTTCCAAGTCTGTGTGTGTGTGTGTGTGTGTGTGTGTGTGTGTGTGTGTGTGTGTGTGTGTGTCAGTCTCTGTCTCCCAGACTGGAGGGCAGTGGCACACTCACAAGCTACTACAGCCTCCACCTGCTGGGCTCAGGACATCCTTCTGCCTCAGCCTTCCAAGTAGATCTATTTTTATAAGTGACTAGGAGATAAGTAGCCAGAATGATATGTTCCAAGTCTGTGTGTGTGTGTGTGTGTGTGTGTGTGTGTGTGTGTGTGTGTGTCAGTGTGTCAGTCTCTGTCTCCCAGACTGGAGGGCAGTGGCACACTCACAAGCTACTACAGCCTCCACCTGCTGGGCTCAGGACATCCTTCTGCCTCAGCCTTCCAAGTAGCTGGAACCACAGGTGCGTGCTATCACGCCCAGCTAATTTTTTGATTTATTGTAGAGCCGTGCTCTCACCAAGTTGCTCAGGCTGGTCTCGAACCTCTGGGCTCAGTCAGTCCTCTCACTTCCTCCTCCTAGAGTGCTGGATTACAGGCATGAGCCACCGTGCCCAGCTTAAGTCTTTGTATCTGTAACTTACTTAGTGTGATTTAGTTTGTAACATAAAATTTTAATCTTACTATGGAAAATAAACTTTAGATTTGATCGCTGGATTTTTTTTTTTTTTTTTTT